ACATTAAAATAAATTGTATTATGATCATTTATTATTCCGCTATACTCTGTTCACAACTTATAAAAATGAAATATAACGGATGTTATGATAATTTACAAATATATGACAAGTTTAAGGTTTGATTATATATGTATTTTTTTATATTTTATTCGCGGTTTCAATGGCAATTCAAAATTTGCCATCAAAGCTCCATTATACAATAATAATGGAAGTGAACACATTTATGTGTGAATGATTTAGGAATGAATTATAATTCGGCATTGGTTGGTAACGATGACACCTGTTAATCCGGTTCTACCAAATTAACGTGACACACGTGAAAGTATGATGTTGGCATTGAACTTCACCATGGGACAGTAGATTGTGCAAGCTATGTAACGAAACTTTTCGATATGCTAGCCCTAACTATTCGTTTCACAAAAATATAAACATTGATACCTACTGTTCTAGATGCCAAAACTGGCTGTTTTTATACTTCTTACTTTTAAATGATTTTGGATAATTTTGATCTTTTTATTGTCGTATACAATTTTGTACGTTGTTACACGTTTATTACTTGAAAATCATATTCTATTAGTTTTCCTAATAGTTCTATTAATTTAAACAAAATACAGATATTATACTATATATTTTTTAATTAGTGCTTTTCGGCTTTGTTTCGGAAATGAAATTCATTTTAAATAGTTAATTGATTATTAAAATTAAATTAACATTATTCATAAAAAAAAATTATTTCAATTAGCTTTGTGACACTAATGCAAACCATAAAATTATGATTACAATTAGTAATTAAATTAAATTATATAAAGTAAAAAATAATTATTGATAACTGAATAAGATAATTGAAAAATATTTATCATAAAAAAGTTAGCCGTTCAAAAAAGAAGAAAATCTCTTAAAAAAATGGCAAAAACACGGTTTAAAACAGTGTCTAAGTTTTGGTACAACCCTGTTTAAAAATGCTACAGGTGTGATTGTAACATAAATAAATCACATCAAATGCAAATGTTTGAACTTTTATTATATTAATTTATACCTGCATTGCTTGCTTATTTAAATGGTTATTATTAGAATTGCTCAGGATTTGTATTCTTTGATCACTATTACTAAGGTTCTCATTGGAGGCACTGTGGATTGGCATGTTCTAACTTTTGAAAGAGGATGAATACAGCAGATTTAATCACTACACCTTTTGAAGTGCCTGTCGGGGAAAGTAACATTTACCCTATTAAGTGCGTTATAACAACAACCGTTATCGTTACTAGCTCTTCCATATTCAACACTTCAACCTCTTTTACACGTTTCCTCCTCATTCAACTATTCTACCTTTTTGGGTTACTTCTATTTCTAAAATATCTGTTCATGATATTCCTTACTGCAGCCAAATGACAACACTTTTTTATTATTGTGGTCCTGCAGTAAAATATCGTATTGGAGTAGGGGACGATATCAAAACGTTACCACGTAACTATATTGGCATTCATTTAATGAAAAAGTTTGAAACCCTTTACATTTAAATAACCGCATAACTAACTAGCTAAATTTGATTTTTTTACATCCTGTTAGACCTTAAGTTAGCTATCGATTACGAAAAATCAATAAATATGTATGTGAAATGTCAAATTTTACATAAAGTTCATACCAATACCTGTTTAGAGGGGCAGGTCAGGAAACGTGTAGTTGACTCCAAAGCCATTGTATAAAAACTTTACAACCCATATATATATTCTAAAATGATTCCAGAAATTATAAGTAGAAATAATCACCTATTAAAACTGTTATGGTATTAACATGCCTAAAAACTTTTTGGCCACTTAGCAAGAAAAGACCTATCTTTTCTTGCTCAGCGAAATTCCTAAATTATTTCGAATAATTGATGATCACTGAGAAATTTGCGGGAAAGCGACCAAGAGGAAGAAACTCCACACGCTGGACCGACCAAATCCGCACCGCCCTCGATACTTCCACGCACACAGTGCCACACAGTGTACACATGTGCGACAGACAGAAACAGCTGGCGTCGCATCATCAAGGAAAAACTGTTCCTTTCAGATGACCACGACCCTCAGTCTCACACAACAGCGGCTCACTAGAGCCGAGGTTCAAGTCTCAGAGACGCCCTCTAGTTGAGCCGACCTCCTCAGGTTCGAGTGGTCTAGAGGCTCCAGACGGAGAGGAGACTCACCCCGCAGGGAGATGCCATCCGCCTGGAATACCTCTAGAGGCACTTGCCAATTCTCGGCTTGAGGTCCCCTTAGGATCTCGCCGTCCCCAAACCCGGTAACGCTGTAAAGGTCATCTCTGCGACTAACACCAAATACTCAAAAAAAAACGATTCTCAGGAATGAGAAAACGAACTCAAGGAAGAGGAGTTAAAATAGAAGGATTTTTGTCGTTAAATGGAATAGCTCCAAGTATTATTTAGTGTATAAAATTAAGTTTTTGGTCCCATCACACAAAAAAATATAATATCGATCAATCTTGAAAGTTAATTGACAAGTCTGAGTGCAGGTGTCAGTTTTAAAGGACAATTGGAATTTCCCAATAACTGCGTGATAACACCTTTTTTTTTTATTAACACTCACACCAATTAGCCTAGCCCCAAAGTAAGCACTATAAGGCTTGTGTTATGGGATGCTAGGGTAACGGATAGAATACATAAACTGTACATATATAAGTATATTTACATAGAAATAGATATTAAGCATCCATGACTGGAGTACAAATGCTCGTATTCATCACCTATACTGTATACACTAAAATACTTTGCAGAACCTGAAATTATTTTGTTACATATTGAGCTTTCGTAGGTACTCGCAGCATAAGTGGCAACACATCAAACATATAGCAACATTTGAGGACTTTTACTACTTTACTCAACACAAAAAAATTAAATATACAAATTAATATATTTACATAATAATAAGTTTTAGATAATTATGTATTGTTGAAAGCACGATCAGAGCTAAGTAGATTATGAAAATTCTATTGAATCTAAAGAAAATATAACTAGAAAAAATTCCACGCGGACCAGGCAGCAGACGGGACTCGAACCCGCACCCTTCGCAATCCGGGCGAATGCACTGACCAATTATGCTACCGCGGCCCTCACGGACCGCGTCGAAATTCTTTCTAGCTATTCTTAAGCTGCAAGGCAGCGCCATCTCTTCGCATTATAGGTAAACCCACAATGTCAAATGAATACTTTTACAAGTATTAAACATTTGAAAGAAGAAATAGCAATTATAGTTATAATTTTTATTATTTTTAAAGCATGTAACTGCTTGATGTTTAAATCTAAAGAAAATATAACTAGAAAAAATTCCACGCGGACCAGGCAGCAGACGGGACTCGAACCCGCACCCTTCGCAATCCGGGCGAATGCACTGACCAATTATGCTACCGCGGCCCTCACGGACCGCGTCGAAATTCTTTCTAGCTGTTCTTAAGCTGCAAGGCAGCGCCATCTCTTCGCATTATAGGTAAACCCACAATGTCAAATGAATACTTTTACAAGTATTAAACATTTGAAAGAAGAAATAGCAATTATAGTTATAATTTTTATTATTTTTAAAGCATGTAACTGCTTGATGTTTAAATCTAAAGAAAATATAACTAGAAAAAATTCCACGCGGACCAGGCAGCAGACGGGACTCGAACCCGCACCCTTCGCAATCCGGGCGAATGCACTGACCAATTATGCTACCGCGGCCCTCACGGACCGCGTCGAAATTCTTTCTAGCTATTCTTAAGCTGCAAGGCATGTCTGCTGCCTGGTCCGCGTGGAATTTTTTCTAGTTATATTTTCTTTAGATTTAAACATCAAGCAGTTACATGCTTTAAAAATAATAAAAATTATAACTATAATTGCTATTTCTTCTTTCAAATGTTTAATACTTGTAAAAGTATTCATTTGACATTGTGGGTTTACCTATAATGCGAAGAGATGGCGCTGCCTTGCAGCTTAAGAATAGCTAGAAAGAATTTCGACGCGGTCCGTGAGGGCCGCGGTAGCATAATTGGTCAGTGCATTCGCCCGGATTGCGAAGGGTGCGGGTTCGAGTCCCGTCTGCTGCCTGGTCCGCGTGGAATTTTTTCTAGTTATATTTTCTTTAGATTTAAACATCAAGCAGTTACATGCTTTAAAAATAATAAAAATTATAACTATAATTGCTATTTCTTCTTTCAAATGTTTAATACTTGTAAAAGTATTCATTTGACATTGTGGGTTTACCTATAATGCGAAGAGATGGCGCTGCCTTGCAGCTTAAGAATAGCTAGAAAGAATTTCGACGCGGTCCGTGAGGGCCGCGGTAGCATAATTGGTCAGTGCATTCGCCCGGATTGCGAAGGGTGCGGGTTCGAGTCCCGTCTGCTGCCTGGTCCGCGTGGAATTTTTTCTAGTTATATTTTCTTTAGATTTAAACATCAAGCAGTTACATGCTTTAAAAATAATAAAAATTATAATTCTATTGAATATAAAGACAACTGAAAGAAAACATTTTTTGTCGAAGATTAATAAAGAAAAAATGGAAAATATTATATTGTGCCGGAGAGCATACCTTTTATATCACTCCTTTATATGTTTTGTCTATGAGATTTTGTATACTTTTTTTTATTGAGATTGTTATTCTTTGTCATTAATAAAAGATTGTTTTACCTTGTCACTGCCACCACTGTTTTCTTTTCTCTTTAATAATAATTAAAAATACAGTCCTTATCCTCCACAGATATAATGTCCTCTAAACTAAAATATTAAAATGTTTTGTAATTTTGATTTAAAATAAAAAAATAAGGTTTATATTTATTTAATCTCTTTTCATTTATATATTTGTTATGATTAAATTATTGACTTAAATAATATGAATTCATGCAATATACGCCTAAATTGTAATTAACTCTATTCAATTAGTTATTATTAATCGCTTAATGATTTCTAGTTATGATATTTACAAAACGGGATGTATCTTATAATATTTTTAAATTCTTCTCAAACTCACCTTGTTCTTTAAAATCCCGATGTCAAATGAAAGCGTTACAATACAGCCGCTTAGCGGCCCGTTGCGCAAGAGTTCGCACGCGACTGTGCCAATACCGCTCACGTAATTTATTAATACTCCAACATAGAATATGTACGTAGATAAACAAGGATTCACGAACTCACTGTTCTACCTACGAGGTATTTGTGGTACAGCACATTATGTATTAATATATATATATATATTAATACATAATACAACATATTGTAAGTATGTTGAAAAAATAATAAAAAAAACTATACAACAGCTGTCGTAGATTGTCCCAGACATATTATATCGCATGTACGGCGATGGAATTACAAATTACCTTACTATACGATTGAAATACTACATTCTAATTATTTAAATGTATTTTTAGTCAAAGATATAGTTTTAGAATTGTCTCGGTGTTTATCTTATTTGAATATTGTTCATTAGCGAAATTCAGTACTGTCTGTTGATTTTTAATCTTTACTTATAATATCAGTAAGTTTTAAAATGAAAAAAATTGGAGATTATTCAAAATGTAAAGATTTTCAATATATGTAATAAATGTGCCTATGCTACTAACTGCAATGAAAAGGTGAATTATTTTTATTATTCGTGAATATGTAATAGGTATATATTTTGGAAAGTGCTTAGATAGAATCTCGTTTCTCTGAATAAACGTCAGTTACCATTTAAGTTTTTTGAAAATCGAAACAACAATATTTGTTTTCCTTTCCTATATTGTCGAAAACTGAAAAGACAATAGATATTTTTTTTAAAGCATGTAACTGCTTGATGTTTAAATCTAAAGAAAATATAACTAGAAAAAGAAGTCCACGCGGACTAGGTAGCAGACGAGACTCAAACCCATAGACAATAGATTCCTAAATGCCCAAGACAAAATATTTATTTTACTTCCGGAATTCTTTCTTTCGATAACTATAATGTAAAAAAAAAATAGTGTGGTTTAAGAAAAGGAAAACTTTTTCCCCTAGTCCGTGCGATAAGGAATTTCGTTCCAATATTTTAGATTATCAACTTTTTTTCCCTAGGCCGTGCGATAAGGAACTTAGTACAATATTTTTAATTATCAACTTTTTTGAATACAAACAAAAATTGGTTAAGACCCCAAAAAACTTATTTATGGGAAATAATTTACAAAGAAGAGTGACAAATTTGAGATAGTACGTAAAGGAATTTATTGGTAAAGTAGTATATTCTGTGACTGATTATTTTGTTTATCTATCTAACCAACTTCGAATAAATAAATAGGAGAGGTACTTTATTCATCGTGTTTGTATATTTTTTTCATCGTTAAACCAACCAAACCCTGCCATTGAACAGTATGTCGAATCTGCGAATTATCAAATCTTTTTGTTGATGTCCATTCTTTAGATCATATATTTGTTCTGCCTCTTGTCAAATTCTTATGAATAAATTGCAAAAAGAAACATGAAATGTGTTGATTTTATGAAGTTAGAAAATAACACATGTTTTTAAGTTAAATTAGACATGGTGCTGTAACTTCTTTAGGATAACAATAGAAAACAACACGTTACTAATTGAAGTATCAAATTTAATTGGCATTGTCTGTGTGCTAAAATATTAGAATATTCATTTGTAGGAAGTATAATAATCGACAATCGTTTTGATAAAATACGGAAACAACATAAAGTAAACACTTGCAACAACATTCCTAAGTCAAATTAAGGCTTAATCCTGTTTATCACTTACTCTTCACCACGGCTCTTCACTTTACCTTCGACAATTGTTTATTTTTATTCTCTCTTTTTTGATGATTTCATTTCTCTTAGTTCTTTATTTGTTGGATATTGTCAATATTGTTGAATAATTATTGCATCAAGTTGTTGTTTTTGAATGTGGATAAAAGAAAAAGGGTTTTGCAACTACAGATACTTATGCCTTATGAATTTTAGTAGAACGTCGAGTAGCATCTATTGACGTAGTCCAGCGGATTTGTTCGCTTGTGCAGATCATGGGAAGTTAATATTTCTCGTAGTCCATGGACAGCACACAGGCACACCAAATGAACACAAACTACCAAATTTTCTCAATAATTTCTCAATATTATATTGAACGATTTAAAACTTAGTAAGTAGGTACTCCTAAAAAAAATGTACATGACAGGTGATATTACTATATCACCTGTCATGTACATTTTTTTTAAAGGGGAGAATGCTTTCACTTTCCGTCTCCGCCCGCTGGGCTGGCAAGCGGAGGTGTGTGGGATTCGTCCGACAAGAGATAGCCGGGAATACGCCAAGCAGACCCTCCCTAGGACGACATTTGCGCGAATGTCCTGCGCTGCTTATCCCCCGGCGCCTCCTTGCAGGTGCGAGAGGGTTATCCTCCCTCCCTTTCTCATTGGCCTCCTTGGCCGCCATGACCGTCGCGCCAAAGTGGGCGACAGCGATAAGTCATTACTGACTTTTCTAATGGGGGCTCCACGCTGTTCGTCCCATGCAGAGCACTGTGCCAGAGTGTGTTGCACTGTATCTTCAATACCGCTACATTCGTGGCATTTGGGCTCTTCCTCCCTTTCAGTGCAACTCTATACAAATATCGGCTAAAGCAACCATGGCCTGTTAATATTCACACGTGGTGGAAGTAGAGGGACCCAAATCCTCTACTGACACAATTTTTAAGAACTGGGGCAATCGCCTCATTTGTGTCGACCGGCGCCAGACGTCTCTAGCCTTCGCGCCCAATAGGCATCCAAGATTTCAGTACTGGCATCCTCACGCCACCTCTCAACCTCATCGACTGTAGGCTTATCTCCACGCAGGTGGAACTCCGTCCTTTTGCGGTACACCGTAGTTAAAATTCGCGCCTCGAGCTCCCAAGGAGGGATGGCAGCCAGCACACATGCAGTTTCTCCTGCGATGGTACGGTAGCTCCGAATGGCCCTGACTGCGACTATGCGCTGCGCACGTTTAAGGACGGCATCATTTCTGGCGTTTAGGGCGTCTATCCACACAGCAGCACCGTAGCCCCATGGATGCCACCACCGCTGCTATGAGTCAGTGGCACACTGAATTTGGTCCACCCATATTTGAAAGTGGGCGATCAAGTGCATTGGAGATCAGTTTCGGACCTAAGCGTGCAAAATGTTCAAACTGCCCGTCCAGCACCAAATACCCAAATATTTTATATGGGGGGATATATCAATCCGCACCCAGTCAAGTCCCGCTCGGGTGAATTTTTATAGAGGTTGTCTTCCTCGCAGCTCCCACCCTCCGAAGAAAATGGAGGCCACGCACCACGTACGGGGTTGAAAGCTCCTGCTGGTTTTTATTCACGCCGGCCAAAGCCGTTCCCCCCATTCGCTACCCGGGAGACGCGCCCAATGGCAGACCAGCAAATGCGCACGAGACATGTCATGCCTAAGTTAACATCAAATTCAGAGTTAAAAACTTCTAATCGCAATGTGGCAGTATGCAATAAAATTTTACACTAAATAATAATAAATGTCAAATATGCTGATCTCAAGGTAATGGAGGTAAGACAAAACACTTTCCATAAGGCAAGCAGAATCACAGAAATAAGGATAGAATTCTAAGTAAAGTCAGTAATTTTTTTTTAACAGTAGAATATAACTTGGGATTTCCGAGACGACTAAGTTGGATAAATTATTCTGTTTGCTACTTCACTACGTGATTATATTGTAGTTTTGGGTTGAAGGTTGCAGGATCCACACGAGATGATATTGTCGAAGGTCTAAGAAAAATAATGAGTTCTGGTTATAATAAATTACATAACAAAATTATCACTACTATTATAAGAAGGTTGGTTTCTGTTAATAACAGTTGGCTTTTGCTTGGAAGGAAAGATTATCATAAATTATAATTTTATTGTTCATTACCAAATGTAGTTGTAAAAATATTCATTACAATTTTTATATATTCATTCATCATCAACCCATGCTCGTGCACTGCTGGACATAGGTCTCTCCTAATGCACGCCACTGCTCTTGATTTTCTGCCACTGAAATCCAGCCCACTCCAGCCAGCCTACGAATGTCATCATCCCATCATTACTTTTATATATAAATGGATAAAACGTATAAACGGATAAATAATCATTATTTTTATATTTACATTGATACTATTTTGGTACATTAATAGATATATGTTATTTGTATTTATGCGGATTTGCTTGAGTAGATTGTTTGAGGTCTGGATATTAAGGCGTAGCCAATACCTTATTAGCTACGTCGAACAAATAATGACAGAGAATATAATATCCTTACATTATTGTATAACACAGGAAGGGCTAAATTTAAAAAAAGCATAGTTGATAGGTTTATTATTTAGTTGGAACTTTTCTGTGGGCATTGTCATAGATCTTATCATAGGCATGGAAGGTAAGTAGACTTTGGAAGTCTGGAAACTGTTGCTGTATCGGTTACCTATCGATATTTCTCGAGTGGTTTTAAAGAAAAGGCTTAGCCTATTCATTTTTAAGAAACGAGTCCGTTAACTACGGCCGAGACTTTTCGTCCGTCCGTCTTTTTGTCAAGACTCTTTTTATCTCGGTAAAGCGTAGAGGTATCGAGTTGAAATTTTAACCATATACTCAGATCTAATATCCCTTGAAGCTGTAAAAATCATACTTTTAAGTTTATCTCTGTGTGTCAAGACCCTTTAAATTAAATTAAAAGGATTAAAAGGAACGCGTGGAAGTATCGAGTTGAAATTATTAAACTATAATTTATACTCGAGTATAAATATAAGCTTTAAGTATCCCAATAATATCGCGCCAAACATTTAAAAAACATTTAAAATTAATTTTACTAGAAATGCAAAGGTTAGGAATAACCACATGTGGTCGTATGGTAGCGGTTTCTACCGCTTTCTAATAGGTGTGTCACAATTTGTGTGTGTTAAATTCTGATGGGTAAATATTAATTCAGAAATTCAATATTAATCTAAATACTAAAAAGTAATAACAACAGTAATAATTAATAATTTTTGGTGAATGATAATATTATATATAGTTATATTATAAAAACTTATCAATAATAATTTAATAATCTTTTTAATTTAATAAAAATATAATCTAATTTAATTCTTCTAATAATAAATTAATCACGTCACGTCGATGTCGTTTCACGTTACGCGCTTTCTAGGCAGAACTGAAAACCAGTGCTTTGCTCTTAGAGCAAAGGTATCGCTGAGTTTTTGCCTTTTTCTGTCGT